CACATAAAACTTATTATCACGTTTCTTAATAACTTTTTCAATCAAGTAGACATTGGGATGTTTTACTTTCTGAAGCTCCATTTCATAAAATCCTCCTGATATATCTTCCCCCTTCTCATCACACAACAAATATGTTGTTGGATTGGTTAATTTAATTTCCTTAATTGTGAAAATTTCATTTGACCAATTGGGAGTATATCCTTTATCAAAAGCATTCCTAAACTTACTTATTCTTACGTGTTCACCAATTTTAAATTTATTATTTTTGTGAGCTAATTTTATATGAGTGAATGCTTGATTTAAAACTTTTTTTTCATTGTTCTCGTTTATTTCTGAAGGTTTCATTTGAATGGTGCGATGGAAAGTGTTATTGTACAATTTTACAACATCATCTAATAGATGCACCCACTTGTAATGACCTTGAAGACTGAATCGTTTCCACATTATATTTTTTAAAGTACGGTTAACCCTTTCAACAATAGAGGCTTTTTTAGAACTAAAAACACTGTAGTGATGAATTCCATACTGTTTCATTAAATTTTGAAAATCTGCATTATAAAATTCTTTTCCATGATCAGTTTGTAAATTTTTTGGTGGTGTTGATAATTTTTCCAAAATGTTTTTCATTGCTCGAGTAACATCAGTTGCATTTTTAGATTTTACCTTTTCACAGAATACATATTTTGAAAAACAATTAATAACTACAAGCATGTATTTGAAACCTTGATTTTCATTAGCAAAAGGAATCATTTCCACAAGATCAGCTTGATAAAGGTCATTAATACCTTTTATTATGACTCTACGTCTATTAAAATTACGTCTTGCAGGCTTGTGTAATTCATTGACAACYTCACTTTTAATTGTAGATTCTTTAAMCTGATAAGATKCTCGTTGCATACGTTTCATTTCTTAAACACTACCAAGCTTATCAATCAATATGCACCAGCTGCACGTATTGTACATTAACAACTAAACATGTTATAATTTGAATCACAAGTTTTATTAAGCTATAATATTGAATTCACGTAATTCCTCAATTATAGAAACAATTTCATTTGAGTGATTTGTATGACCAGCTGCTTGAGATGCTATTAACAAACGAAGTCGTTCAACAAGTTCATTAGGATCATCCCAATGCACATAATCTATTTTATTTCTATTTACTTCTTTAAACATACCTCGACCCGTTTTCGGCGTTGAAGTTGAGAATGATGATAGCTTTTCACGTAATAATGGAGCAATAATTTGTTTATATTTTTTAGATCTTGAAGCAACATTTCGATCTTGCGGATTAAAGTTTCTCTTATATGCGTGGGTTCTATGCAATATATCACTATAGTTATTTAAGTCCTTATCAGTATATATCTTATTGGGATATTTTCTAAATAACAATTCATATAATCCAGGTGTAGCTTCATACACTTTATTCTTTATAGTAATATTTGCATCTTTAAAATTCACTTGCTGTGATCCAACAAAAAACTTATCCTGACGCTTATCATATCTTACACCGAACCTATTGTCGAATTGAGCATTTTCTTTACCATGCAATATATCTTCAATGTAATGTTCTTGCAATTCAATATCTTGTTTCTGATTACTAATTTCAGATTTATTATTCATATTAAAAATATTTTCAAAATCACTGTTTTCGAGTGTTGATGTTTGCTGATGTTGCTGGTTCGAAACTTTATCTTCTGCAATTGCAAATGGCAAAGAATCATTTATATCAATGAAAGGGTGGAATTTCGCTTTAGAATAACTTTCTGTTTTTAAATTATCATTCTCTTTTACTCCATCTACATGTAATTTCTTTGCAATTGTTTTAAGTTCGGTTGTAATCGGTAAAAATTTACGTTGTTGATTCAGCTCATTCGTTTTAACTAAGGCTAATTTATGTTGAAGCTGTTTTCGTTTTTGTATTAATTTTTTTTTTAATTCGATTGTATTTTGCAATGCCTCTGTATTCATATTATTTATAAATTACCTACTAAATGCACACACTAAAAGATATTGTGTAAGATGATGACTTCACAATAAGAACGTTAAATTATAACTAAATTATAGTAAAACCGTGTATTGAGCTTTTATTTGTTTTGAGGATCAATAAACAAATCAAATCCTATTCTGTATCTTCCATTATTAATATCGCTATCTTTATCTATCACTAAAAATCCATAATTATTCTTCCAACACATTGAACACATTTCTTTGAATCTATCGAATGATACATCAGTATTTACATGATCATCATATACATGTCGTAAGTTTAGGTTATCTTGCTTGAAAAGAACGATTAAATTAGCATTATCACGAATTAGATGCTTCGGTACATGTGAATAAGTTTGACATAAGTAAAACGAATCAATATCTTTATGTCGCCCCATAGTAAAATATGCTTTCATAAGATCTTGTTTATCACATGCTACATCATCAAATATAAATATAGAATTCGGTTTTGCTTCATGCGGCTGCGGAAGATTGTTTTCTAAACCACTAAATGCAAAATAGCTCAAACCTTTTATGGGTTTTACAAGCTTTTCCAAATACTGATACTTGGGTTGATATAAAGACTTTGAATAAATGTATAAATTTTCAAATCTGAGAC